TGGTGAGCAGCATATCCTGGTGGGAGTCCTGCCTGGAGCTTGGAGCTTTGCCGGGAGCTCAGTAGCAACCAGAAAAGGAGCAACCATACTCATCCCAACTAGGGCAAGAACGTTTTGGAAAAAGGCAAAGGTTGTATGCTACTTTAAAGACTTTGAGACTTTTGAATGAACTAAATATTAAAGGACTGAGTATTAAAGACATATTTACATGGCAACATCACCTTGCAAGTCCTAGATGGGTGGAGAGCAATAGTCTGTTGTTGGGAAAGATGTGTGCTGTAATATAGCATTGTGTACAGATTTGCTATGTTGTGGTGTGTCCAGTCCTTAGAAAGCAAAGAACCCTCACACTAGTACAATTTGTCCAATGGAGAAATTTGTATTTCTGCATGAGAAGATGGTTCAACTTGTTTTGAATACTACTTCTCAAATTAAGCTTTTATATAAGGTAAGGCCTAAGAACATTTCTGGCCTTTGACTTGTTGTTGCATGCATTGTGATATGTAAGTAGAAAATGTGCAAGCTTTTAATTCAGTGGCCACTTTGAATATGTATCCACCACAGTTAAAAAGGTTTTGTTTTTAATAACTGGTCCTGCTAAACTTTTATTAATTCTTCACCAGGGCAAGGCAGGTCATTTCAGCTCATGAACTGGGGCAGGAGGGAGGTTTTGGTCATCTTTTGGACATGGTGTCAACCTAAGCAGTTCATTTGGAGTTCTATTTTTATTAGAATCTCCAAGGAATTAATGCCAAAGCTATATTGAAGCAGCTGCTGTTTTGACAATGCAATCCTCTGTGAATATTTATGGTGAGTAAGAATTTGGAATCTTCCTCCATTTCTATCTGTATATAAGCCTTTGCTAGGTCTAGCAGAATAGCAAATACATGATAACTTTAAAATTGCCATAGATCCTGACAATTTCATTGTTTTAGAACCAAGTATAACCTGGGATCTAATCAATTTTTGAAAAAAAAACCCTGGCCAATCCAGCATCAGCCTCTACCTTTTTCTGTATGGCATATGGAGGTGGACATACTTTGTGAAAATTTGGGTGTAGCATTTTCATGTAATACTGCTTTACCTTTTATGCGTTGGAGTGTGTGGATGCCATCTGTGAACAGCATAAACCAATGCCTCTTTCAGCTTATCCTCAGTGGTTTCTGTGATGGCATTGCAGGAAAGCCATATTAGTCTCTGGTAGCAAAAAATCAGGAGTCTGCAGCTCACAAAAGCTTATGCCTTTTAATAGAGTTTGTTAATAGGAAAAGATGCTTAT